ATTTCCTTTCCTCTCATGTGTTTCTGTAACTGCAGCTCTTTTTCTTTGTCAGGAGTTTTTTCCTGAATGGCTTTTGTGTATAATGAGAATACCAGCCATGAGAGTTTGAGGTAGTGAAATGTTTATTATACTGCATTTTTAATACCCAGAGCGAGACAGGACCTGGAAAAGTCCCAACTAAACTCAAAATCATGAATCAGAAGGAAGTGAATCAAATTCACGTTTGCTTTTCCACTGCATCACAAAACCTGATCCAAACGCTGACTACATCTACAGCTGATTCACTTTTTGGGTCAACTCAATCCAACATGGCCACAAAATGAACTTTGCACACTTAAAATTCAATTCTATGGTAAAACTTTTGGGTTGTAGTTGCTGAGAGTGATTAATAGCAGTCTGAGTGAAGACACTTATAGGGCATCAAAACTCACGAACACCAGGTGGATTTTAGCCTTTCTCCCAGAGGGTTTCCATCGTGTGTTCATCTACATTTGATTAACTATTGGAGTCAAATCGACTCAAGATGACTGCCAAACCCAGTTAACTTCAGCAACAACACTAGTATCCATGACTCTTGTGATGAGATCAACTTTCATGTGGCAGCCATCTCCAATTTACATCATGTGCGTGAGTGGTGAGTTACGGTAGTATCACTGTCTCCATGCCGGTGGAAGCCGTTATGGTCTATGGTTGGGTTTGCACTGAAAGCATCGCGAGATGTTTCAGATGCATCCCACAAATGTGTTAAGCTGCTCTGCTAGATGGGTTTGGGTTCTATTTTTAACACAACACATTTCCAGTGCATAAAGGGTGAAACATATCACCAAGTAGGACTGGGCGATATGGACTAAAATCAATATCAGGATGTTGAGGATTTCACCTCGATTACGATAAATGGATGATAACTACAGGTATGCGCAGAAACAAAGGTTGTCCAATAGGTGGGGCTGTCACAAATGTCTACAATTACGTAGAGTCACATTTTTAAGTGACTCAAGGTGGTACAGCTTCTTAAAAACCTACACGCATCTTTTCATTTTTATTTTCAAATTTATTGACATGGGAAAAATTATCTCGATAAAAGTCAATTTCCATAACGATATATTTTCGATTTATTGCCCCGCCCTATGACTAAGGTATCAGTGTAAAGCACTGGCTACATTTCAAAATAAAAGACAAATACACATTTGGAATTGGAAAATTATGCAAGCATAACGTCTATACTGGGGACCAAAACGCTCATTTGCATGGACTGAAATATCAACCAACATGGGAATGGATGGAGAGTTTAAAAACATATGATTTAAAAATCATCCTTGAACCGTCACCTTATCGTGGTGGATGAGTTTGAGTGCCCTAATGATCCTAGGAGCCATGTTGTTTGGGGCACTTTGTGCCCCTGGTAAGGTCTCCCATGACAAATTGGTCTTACGTGAAGGGTGAGACAAAGAACGGTTCAGAGGATCTTTCATGGATGTACAATCAAAGAATCTGAGTACCCAGCCCGAAGGGTTACCGGGGTCCCACCCTGGAGCCAGGCCTGGGGTTGGGGCCTGTGAGCGAGCGCCTGGTGGCCGGGCTTTCACCCATGGGGCCTGGCCGGGCCCAGCCCGAACAGGATACATGGGCTCATCCAACTGTGGACCCACCACCCGCAGGATGAACATGAAGGGACCGGTGCAATGTGGATCGGGTGGCAGACCAAGGCGGGAGCCTTGGCGGTCCGATCCCCGGACAAGAAAACTGGTTTTTGGGACATGGAACGTCACCTCGCTGGCGGGGAAGGAGCAGGAGCTTGTGGCAGAGGTTGTGCGGTACCGGCTAGATATAGTCGGACTCACCTCGACACAGCATTGGCTCTGGAACCCAAGTCCTTGAGAGGGGTTGGACACTCTCCTTTGCTGGAGTTGCTCCGGGTGAGAGGCGGAGGGCTGGGGTTGGCTTTTTGTTAGCCCCAAGACTCTCTGCCTGTGTGTTGGGGTTTACCCAGGGGGACGAGAGGGTAGCTTCCCTGCGCCTTCGGGTCGGGGAACGGGTCCTGACTGTTGTTTGTGCTTATGGGCCAAATATCAGTTCAGAGTACCCACCCTTTTTGGAGTCCCTGGGACGAGTGCTAAGATAGTGCTCCATCAGGGGACTCCATTGTCAAGCTGGGGGACTTCAATGCTCACGTGGGCAATGACAGCTTGACCTGGAGGCGTGTGATTGGGAGGAATGGCCCGCCTGATCTGAACTCGAGTGGTGTTTTGTTATTGGACTTCTGTGCAAGCCGCAGTTTGGCCACAACGAACACCATGTTCAAACATAAGGATGCCCATCGGGACACTTGGTACCAGGGGCAGCCTAGGTCGCAGGTCGATGATAGACTTTGGAGTCATATCATCTGACCTGCGGTCGTATGTTTTGGGCACCCGAGTGAAGAGAGGAGCGGAGCTGTCAACTGATCACCACCTGGTGGTGAGTTGGACCAGATGGCAGGGAAAGATACCGCGTAGACCAGGCAGACCCAAACGCATAGTGAGGGTCTGCTGGGAACGCCTGGCAGAAGAACCTGTTAAGACGGTCTTCAACTCCCACCTCCGGCAGACCTTTGACTGCGTCCCGAGAGCAGTGGGGGACATTGACTCCGAGTGAGCCTTGTTCCACTCTGCGATTGTTGAGGTGGCTGTTGCTAGCTGTGGTCACAAGGTGGCCGGTGCCAGTCGTGGTGGCAACCCCCGTACCCGCTGGAGGACACCAGAGGTTCGGGGAGCCGTCAGGCTGAAGAAGGAGGCCTACAGGGCATGGCTGGTCTTTGGGTCTCCGGAGGCAGCAGACAGGTACCGGATAGCCAAGCGGGGTGCAGCAGTGACAGTTGCCGAGGCAAAATCTCGGGCGTGGGAGGAGTTTGGTGAGGCCATGGAGAAAGACTATCGATCGGCTCCAAAGAGGTTCTGGCAAACTGTCCGGCGCCTCAGGAGAGGGAGGCAGCAACTCGCTCACACTGTTTACAGTGGGGATGGGGAGCTGCTGACGTCAACTGAGGCTATAGTCGGACGGTGGAAGGAATACTTTGAGGAGCTCCTCAATCCCACCTATGCGCATTCCGAGGAGGAACCAGAGCTGGGAGACCTGGGGATGGACTGTCCAATCTCGGGGGCAGAAGTTGCTGAGGTAGTCAAACAACTACACAGCGGCGGAGCCCCGGGGGCGGATGAGGTTCGTCCTGGGTATCTCAAGGCTATGGATGTTGTAGGGCTGTCATGGTTGACACGTCTCTGCAACATTGCGTGGTTATCGGGGGCAGTTCCTGTGGAGCGGCAGACCGGGGTAGTGGTCCCCATCTTTAAGAAGGGTGGTCCTGAGGGTGTGTTCCAACTATAGGGGGATCACACTCCTCAGCCTCCCTGGAAAGGTCTACTCCAAGGAACTGGAGAGGAGTGTCCGATCGATAGTTGAATCTCAGATTGAGGAGGAGCAATGTGGTTTTCGTCCTGGCCGTGGAACTGTGGACCAGCTCTATACCCTTGCAAGGGTGATGGAGGGGGCATGGGAGTTTGCCCAACCAATCCACATGTGTTTTGTGGATTTGGAGAAGGCTTATGACCATGTCCCCAGGGGCACCATGTGGGGGAACGCTCCAGGAGTATGGGGTGGGTGGCTTTCTGTTAAGGGCCGCATAGCCGGTAGTAAGTCGAACCTGTTCCCGGTGAGGGTTGGACTCCGCCAGGGCTGCCCTTTGTCACCGGTTCTGTTCATTACCTTTATGGACAAAATTTCTAGGCGCAGCCGTGGTGTGGAGTGTGTCGAGTTTGGTGGCTGGAGAATCTCATCTCTGCTTTTTGCGGATGATGTGGTCCTCCTAGCTTCATCCAGCTCTGACCTTCAGCTCTTGCTGGGTAGGTTCGCGGCCGTGTGTGAAGCGGCTGGGATGAGGATCAGCACCTCCAAATCTGAGACCATGGTTCTCGACCGGAAAAGGGTGGCTTGCCAACTCCGGGTCGGGAGAGAGGTCCTACCTCAAGTGGAGGAGTTTAAGTATCTTGGGGTCTTGTTCACGAGTGAGGGTAGGAGGGATTGGGAGATCGACAGGTGGATTGGTTCAGCGTCTGCAGTGATGCGGACGCTGAGCCGATCTGTCGTGGTGAAGAGGGAGCTGAGCCAGAAAGCCAGGCTCTCGATTTACCGGTCGATCTTCGTCCCAATCCTCACCTATGGTCATGAGCTTTGGGAAAACTACCGAAAGAACGAGATTGCGGATACAGGCGGCCGAAATGAGTTTCCTCCGTAGGGTGGCCGGGCTCAGCCTTAGAGATAGGGTGAGGAGCTTGAACATTCGGGAGGGGACTCGGGATTAGAACCGCTGCTCCTCTGGATCGAAAGGAGCCAGTTGAGGTGGTTTGGGCATCTGGTCAGGATGCCTCCAGGACGCCTCCCCGGGGAGGTGTTTCGGGCATGTCCTGCCGGCAGGAGGCCCCCGGATCGACCCAGGACACGTTGGAGAGGTTACATCTCCAATCTGGTCCAGGAACGCCTTGGGGTCCTGCTGGAGGAGCTGGTGGAGAAGGCCGGGGAGAGGACGGTCTGGAGCTCCCTAGTTGGGATGCTGCCCCCGCGACCTGGACCCGGATAAGCGGAGGAAGACGACGATGATGATTATAAAATGTATTTGAAAGCATATGTGTATTCTGACAGCCACTCTGGGTTCGACACGCTCCTGGTGGGGATTGTCGCATACCGACACAAAACTATGTCACGGATTTAACCTGCCACCCTGCACTTCCTGCTAATGGTATTTTTAGCAAAAGTTTAAATAGTTTAAGAATACATTAACGAAAGGTTATGAGAAAGTTAGAATGATAAAACAGGAAATACACCTGCAGATGAAGTTGTCTGAGGTGTATGTCAAGCACCACTCAATGCCTGTTTAGTTTTGACAGCAACACGAAAGTATTTCTACCACAGGACTGACCAAACTTCAGTACATGATGAATGCTGGAGAAATGTTTTCATGTGCTCACCACATGGAAGACCGCATCATCCTGACCGGTGGTGAGAACCATCTGGGGCTGGAGCCCGGACTGGAGGAACGAGCCATGGGCTGACACAGTGCAGCCTCCGCTAGTTAGACGGCGGTGGGGGTGGGGGGGTGGGTGGTGAGAGTGGATATCAGCATTAGTATCTGACACAGGAGATTCCCACAGGGAAGTACCTGCTGTTTGCGTTAGCAAGTTGTCACTTCCCACTCATTCCCTGCTGATGTAACACACACACACACACACACACACACACACACACACACACACACACACACACACACACACACACACACACACACACACACACACACACACAAATCTGTCCAACAAAACTACTCATGCTGAGTAGGACTAACCTCACAAAGGAGCGAAGGGGCTGGATGCTGTGGATGATCGGGTCGTTGTTGTAGGTGAACAGCACGGGTGCATGGAACTCAACTGAGTCCACCGTTAGCTTCACCAGCTCCTCTGAGGGTGCAAGTTGTGAAGGAGTCTTACAGGTTAGCATGGTGGACGTCAAGCTGTTGATGTAGAGGTGGGAAAACGGAAGATTTACTGTAGTTGTGGTAGATCCAGATAACATGTTTAGACCATTCAGCTGCTAATGTTTCACTAGCACAGGGGGAAATGTACCAATAAGATTACTGACCTCTGAATTTTACAGACCGCCTTCCCCACAGTCACCACTTGTTTGTTTCCTGCATCCAAGAATTCTCCCCTGATGGTCAGCATGGTGTTTCCAGACTTTGGACCAAATGTGGGGAAGATATGCTTAATGAGGGGGTCCTGTGTGGAAAACGGACAGAACACAGGCTGCTTGTAATGTGCAACAGTCCTGAGTTAAAGCATACTACACATAGAACGAGACCACGACTGTAAGGGGGTGCGGTTCGGGGACCACAAAGAGGGCGCCCGCGGGCCGCCTATTGAGTACCACTGGTCTACAGAGTCAAAGGCTTTAGCCAAGTCAACAAACACAGCCACACAATATTCTTTATTGTCAATGACACATAAGATGTCATTTAACACTAAGTGTTGCAGAGACACATCCATGGCCAGTTCTGAAACCGGACTGCATGGGGGTAATGATACTGCTGGATTCCAGATAGTGAGTTAGCGGTTTGTTGACTAACTTTTTAATGACTTTAGAGAGGCAAGGGTAGATAAAGATAAACCTATAACAGCTTAGGTCTGAATGATCTCCCCCTTTAAAAAGCGGAGTAACAGATGCAAACTTGCAGTCCTGCTTAAATGCACCAGTTGTATGGCCAGATTAAACAGATGGGTAATTGGTGCAGCAACCACACGTGCTGCTATTTTCAGAAAAAAAGGGTCAAGAGTATCCAGTATAATTTTTTCCTGAATTTAATCTGAAATCCAATGTAGTTTATCTAGTTTTTTGGATGCTGGTGTTTATGAGGTTATATTTGCTTAATTGAATACCAAATGAATAAATAAATAACAGAAGATGCCTAATATTCGTATAGGAAGGGAAATGTCATGACTAAAAATATTGGGGGAATAAATTCTGTTATTGTCAACCTGTGAACGAAGTAAAAGGACTGGGCTATTGATAAGCAAAGTACCATTAGTCATCATCACACACTGGTGAAATTACGTTTGACCCATTCCCATCAGGAGCGGTGAGCTGCAGCTGTGGTTTAACCCGCCAATCCAACCCCTTAAAGCTGAGTGTCAATGAGGAACTGGGTCTGAATTTTTAAGTGTTTGGTATGACCAAACCGGGATTTGAACCCCGATCTCCCAGTCCCAGGATGGACACTCTACCACTAGGCCACTGAGAAGATGTAATGGGAAGCAGGACAATATACCCCAAAGAAAGCACATAAAATAAATTAAAAGCCTTTATTAATGAAAAACAATACATTAAACGTCTCCCTTTGCATTGTTGGTGTAACTGATGGTGTGAATAAAGGTGAACAGGCTCAGTCCAACCAACCAACCATTCAAACTTTCCTTACCACAAATGTGAAACCTTCGGTCTTGACCACTTTGTTTCCACTGGAAACCTTCACGGTGTGTCCTGAAGGGGTGAAGTTCCCACTGAGCAACGGGGAACACTGCATCTCAGTCCATCTACACCCGAACCCCCCACCCCCACAAACAAAACACAAGTCAAGTATTATTCTCTGTCACAGCTCCCAACTTTTAGCCTAATTCAATGATCACACATTTCCCATACCCCCCCCCCCCCCCCCCCCCAAAAAAAAAAAAACAAACAAGGTTGTTTGGAGCAGAGAGGGCTCTTGAACGAGACACAGCCCCCTTGGATTAGAGATGGTGGAAAGTTTGGATTCAGCAATTTTATCCAGCAATTTTTCAATTAGGGCAGTCATGTGCTGAATGTGGCAAAATGCAGAAAAGCAAAAGGAAATGAGAGAGGACATGTTTATTCACATTCTTTCTTCCACACAATAACCCCTATTAAAGCTGCACCCCTATAGGACATCAGTGTATGGGTCCCATTGTCTCCTGAGTGTTTTCCATTCTGTGCACCACAAAATCCAGGGAAAAGAAATGCTCATTAAAACACAGAATGTGCACAAAATTAGTTTAGTAAATATTTTGACTCGTCTGCACATGCACAAACGCATGCACACACGCATACACACACCTGTTGATGTGGTCCTGTCGGGCCAGTTTACAGGGAGCACCAGCCACTTCCACCGTCACCATTGAGGCCTTGAAGTTCTCTGTTTTGTCAAAGCCAAAGTTGTATCCACAAATGGTCACTGATGTAGATCCCCGCACTGGTCCAGATGCTGGGACAATCTGATGAGTGCACAAAGGACCGGCAACGTCACTTTTTTCACAATAAAAATCAGATCTTGCTCTAAGCAGATTTATCCGATTAGTCACTAAAAACATTTAAACATGAAGTGTCCCAGCTGATGTTTAGATCTAAATTAGCATCATACAGAGACAACATAATATGAAACACTCTGGGATGGATGAAATAAACGTGTGATACTAATCACCATAGTGACCAGAGACTGTGGTTACCTTAGTGATGACAGGTGCGCAGTAGTCCTGACTCCACACAGAGGAGGAGGGGCACTGGTTCCTCCTGGTGCATCGTCCATCGCACCAGCCACATTGAGTCACTCTTGATGAGAGTAAACATGATGTGCAGGTGGTCAGCTGACCACAGCCAGGGCCAATCAGAGGAATCTTAGTGATCTAGGAGGCAAACAGAATTTAGAACAAAAACCTTTCTGTCCTGTTCTTTTAAGTGAACATTCAAAAACGTCATTAATGTTGACCCACGTCAGCTTCACCATCAACTCACAAATAAATAATAATAATAGAAAAATCTCCTGAGTCATTACTTATATTTCTGACACGGTGTTCCAAGGCAGTTCTAAAACAGCTGCTTCTCTAACTTCCTGATAGCTGTTCTGCAATGCTAACTCTAGCTTGTATGTGAACTGGAATCACTTCCAGTTTCTTTGGTGTCATTTGTCTAAGCTTATGCTCTCTGTCGCTCCTTTTGTAATGTTACTGTTGAGTTAGGTTGTGGAATCCCTCATTTTGCATCTCACTCCTCACTTTGTTTCCTGTGGCCATCAGCAAGGCTCCCTCTGAAGCAGCAGAGTCCGGCAGCACTACACTAGCAGAGACGGGTCGAGAGTCCAGACGGATGTTCACATGGGGCGATGCAAAACGGGAAAACAGCACCTAGAAAATTAAGGACAATATAGCATAATCTGGAATGAGACTGAGAAAAAACACAGTGAAATAGCCCCTAAAGCCAAAAATCAAACACACAACCAGACATAAAAAAACAACCCATGAAAAGTCGCATCTCTAATGCCAGACCTTCTGACAATTACAGTACAAGCATTGTTTAACTTACCTTTTAGTTTTCAGAGTTTGTTTAAGGTTTGATTTCAACTCTATGTTGCTCCTTCACTGTCACAGAAAAAGCCAAAGGCACAGGTTTGCAGTCACCATAGTGCCCCTAATTAGCCACTCGCTGCAGCAATAACTTTTCTTTAGACTTTGGTTATTTCGTTTATAAATCTCAGGTTAGATTCCCACAAAAGTAACACTCACATCAATATTGAGCTTTCCTGAGAAACGTCATTTTTGTTGGGATTTCACTTCAAAACTTCTGAATTTTCAGGTTAAAATGTAATCTTACACAGCTTTACATAGTTCAGAGTAACACTAGATGGTTTTATTACTTTAAGATAGAGCTTTAACAATCATGTCAGTGATTGTTGGGTTACAAACTTGACCAGTTTCATTTCTGAAACCACTCTGCCGCCCTCTGCTGACCAAATACCGCACTTGATAGTTTTTCGAAGTGGGTAGGTGTTCTAGCAGGTGCTATTTACCTGCTTTAAGGCAGACTGTAATGCTAGCAGTTAACATTTTCAGTTCGCCAATCATCATTTTAGTATTAGTTGGCTCATGTTAGTGTTAGCTTGTTGTTAGCGCTAGCTAAAGCAAGCTACAGCAGGGTTGTTTATGATAGTTGTAATTCCACTTTCAACCAGTAGGGCGGAGAAGCAGGAAATTGCTCACTGTTACTTTAAACGTAATGGTGTGTATTTTTCCTGGTGATAGGGAGCAGTACAAATCTTAATCATTGCAGACAAGCGGCCCCTTTCATCTCTGTCAACAAATGAAATGTGTAAAACAACAATTTTTATGAACGGTGAAAGTTTTGCATGACCTGATTTTTATGATTATATGTTACAAAGCTGCCAGTATTTTTCATCACCTGGGCATCATTTAATTCATTTCCAACAGCATTTCAATGGATATTTCCAGAGATTAACGACACAACTACACATTGTCACTTTAAGTAAAAAAAGAGCTGGACTAATAATCCGAACTAAGATGTTCTGTCCTCATAAAAGATGGATTCTAAACTCCAAAAACAAAACCATGGATGGATTACTGCTGAAAATGTTAAAGTGACTAATTTCACCTGTTTGTTTTCTCGGTGGAGACTTAGCTGACGGATGTGGGAGCTCATGAGGCTCTACTACTGATGGGGATGCTTGTTCTGTGGGAGAAGTTTTAAAATGCTTTCATAACTTTCATGAGCCAAATTATTTTTAAAGCAGAACTGGAGCATGAGAATGTATAAATAGCACACATCCTGAAGTCTGGCTGAAATAAGTAGAACTCGTGAGGGAGTCCCAGTTACATCAGACACTTCTTTTTTTCTTCAGCCGTTTCCAAAGCATGGCACCAGATGATCCCACATCTGTTCACTCATGTTGGTTTAGCCGCTGTGGCCTTAGGTGTGTGTGTGTGAGTGGGGGGGTGGGGGGTGGGGGTGGGGGGGTGGGTGGGGGGGGGTGCAAAAGTTGACTGATGCTTTGAAAGTCTGTTTGTTTCTAATCAAAGAAGTCTGATCTGAAGATCACAAAAATAAACGAAGGAGAGCGGTCATGATCTGCGATTGGAGGGAATGTTTACAAACAGGTTTCTGTTAACGGTTATAGCAAATACCATCTTACCTGCTGTGGATAGTCCTTTGAATGATCTCAGATTAGAACTGATCACAGAGACAAGCCAACGGCTAGTTATGGTGGATTTTAAATATCTATAACCTAAAATAAAACACTGTGGGTCAGTAAACACCATTCTGTCCCTCTTCACACTGCTGGATGAGACATGTGTAGTTAGCTCTGCTGCTAGATCCTGAAGCAACTTCAGAATGCAGTAAAAATAACCACATGCCACATCTACAGCAGTCTAATTGTTTATAGTATGACATTAGCATTAAGTATTATGGGATTCTTAAGTTATTAAGTCTGCAGAAACTCATGTTGCTCTATGCCCTGCAGTGTCTAGATGTTTGCTCACCAATATGGTCAGAACTAATCTGTGTTTCTCCATACTGAGGCTGTCCAATGAGCTGTCAGAAACTGGTGAGATGTTCACTTTTACACAGAAACCAGATCAGAAAATCCCACTTTTCCACCAAGTACCAACATATCAGCGTTTGCTGTAAATGACAATATAACATCTGAATGTTTAAACATAAGTTTAAATGCTAATGTTAACATCTCAGTCCAAAGCTACATTACACCATATCTAAATATAAAGTTGGTGGTTTTTAACTAACTTGGTGAAGAGAAGTCCTGTCTAACACCTGAGCGTCCCTTTGATGGTGAGCTGGTGTGACTCTATTCAGTCACGGATCATTTATTAATGAACAAGGAGAACCGCTGATAAATGATCCATGTTTTAACAGCTTAGCATCCCATCATCTGAGATGCTGGATAGGGGACTAGACAACTAAAAGTGCGTCGGCAAAATATTTATATTAAAATGTGATAAATGTGAAAGTATTAGTTCTAAATTTGTATTTTTACCATTGTGATTTCAAGCTAAACATTTTATTTATATCTTTATACTATATCATCTGCACACACACACACACACACACACACACACACACACACACACACACACACACACACACACACACACACACACACACACACACACACACACACACACACACACACCTGGAACAGCGTTTATCACCTGTAGTTGCGTGGCTGTTACAGGCTTCAGAGAAAAAAACAACGGAGCAGGATCCTCTAAAGGGGTGTGTGGTAACACCAGTTACCCAAAGCCTTTATAAATTACATACACACACCCACTCACACACACACTAATTTATTGTTTTTGCATGTCAATATCTCACTGCAAAGAGATTTATCCTTTAACAAAACAAGCACCGTGGTGTCAGGAGCCAAACGAATCCCTCACACAGCCCTGGATCAGTGTGAAGGCAATGCCGAGGTGAGAGTTGGGGTAAGTGTGTAATTCATTGCACTGGGAAAAAGTCTATATGATGCACTCAGCGATGACTGCTTTATTTTCTTATTGTGAGTTCACTGGCAACAAAAAACACTCAACACTGTAAAGATTTCAACATCAGTTGGCTGACCCACAACTTTCCCTCAGACTTCCCCTGAAAAACACATTTCGTTTCCCAGCATCGTTCCTGCCACTGCCGGAGCCTCATGATCAACATCAGCTTTGTGACCGGGAGTATAATGGGTGGCTTTCTGCCGGGGACGTGGCCACACAACAGCCATCTCTCTGGAGGTAATAGCAGTGTAAATTACAGCTTATTGTATTAAGCAGGCTGGGGGAAGTTTGGTCTATAAACACGGGCACTATGTTATTCCCACATAGATCCAACTGAAGTCAAGGAGAACACTTCCTGAACCGGTCCACTGGGGGGGAAACAACACTCATTTTTTTTCTGTGCTCCATCTCGCTCTGTCCCCTGGGACCGACCAGGAAACTGAAATGGATGAAAAGATGACAGGTCCTTTTTTTTATCAACCTAACAATGAAGTGAGCTGCAGACAAACTCCTCTCATAGATTTCTTGTTGTTTCACTGCTTTGGACTGAAGCAGCAGGTGGCTGGAGGGTCTTTAGTTCAAATGTATGCCTTGGAAATTTGTGGGGGAGAAAGTGAATGAAATACTTCAGTCACGCGTGCTAACAAGTGGACACGGCAGTCTGGGTCAAAAGCTGCATCTCAACTGGAAACACAAACACAACAACACTAGCTTCAACACTTTATGCTAATGCTTTCAAACTGGTTTCTGTGCTTCTTCAGCCTGAAACATGAGTCCACATTCAACAGTACTCTGTAGCTTTCTGATGACAGGAAACTTCACTTAACAGTTTTGTGGTTCACGTGGAAACACTAGTGGAAGGTCTCTACCTGCTTTACAGCAATAGTGGTTTACTGTGCTGAAAGGCTAGCAGTTAGCTTTTTCAGTTTGCAAACAGCCACTGGAAAGTACAAAGGAGAAATTAGCTTTTTGTTGTTGGTATCATGGCGTAGCCTGGAAGTAAAAGTAACAGAATAATGTCTTGGGAAGCAAATCAAAAAGTTAAAACCAGAGTGAACATAGCCGCGGCGCGGTTTGACGGAGGCTATAAAATCACAGAGTGATAGTGACCTGGCTTTGTTGCTGCTGGACTTGTATATAGTAAGATTTTTTGTCCAACAGTGTGGATCTTTTACTTTGTGGCTTATTTAATATCAGTTGGGTTGTGTTAAGCCAGGCAGAGACTGTGCGACCGTTTCACTTTATAGAGCCAATGTTTCCCTCGAGAATCTACAAGATCGGGGCGAGTTTTGCGCTGAGCGTCGTGTAGTATACAGGGGGTTACGAGAGGCGATAAACATCATGTGACCAGCTACCGATCAGCAGTCGTGAGCTTGCATGGATTTCTGGCATGTTTGATATTTTGTTCCTCCCTCTTGAGTGTATCACACTGTTGAAGTGGCGCTGCGAGAGGCTGCGACCCAAAAAGTAGCATAACCACTCATGGTGCATGCGCAAACGTGTCAACACGGCTCGCCAGCTATTTCCCTATTACCACACGTCATTTTTTTATTTCTACACTTTTTTTACGCACACAATGACAAGGATTGTCAGGAAAGTGTTTAAGTTAAACTGATCATAAAACGTTTTTTTTTTACTTTCTTTCATTTCAATTCAATTCAATTCAATTCAAAAATACTTTATTAATCCCAGAGGGAAATCGATTGCTGTAGTAACTCAGAATAATAATAATAATAATCAAGTCATCAAAGAGTTGTTGTATATTACAATGGCTGTTGGCAGGAAGGATCTCCAGTAGCGGTCAGTGTTGCAGTGAAACTGAAGAAGCCTCT